ATCATTTTTCGGAATGTACCCTGCCCCGGCGAATTTCGAGGAAAATTGATATCGAAAACGTCGGTGATCTTCCGACGTTTTTTTCTCGGTGTTACGTTACCCGCGTAACAGGTGTTGGTTACGATTTTGCATTCGATCGAAGAAGGGTTAAGAATGTCGAGATCCTGCGGTTTTCGCCCAAGCCTGCGTAAACCCGTGTTTTGTACAAAAATAAAACAGAGAGGATCAATTTCGCACGGGTCGACTACTTCCTTACAAGCGGACGCTCCGACAAGAACGATCCTCCGCTTCTTTTATCCGGAAACTTTCTTCGCAGAAATGATTCTTTATGGTTCCATCGTTTTTATAGAGAAACTCTCGCAGCGAAGATCCAGGGGACAGCTTTCTTTTTCTTCTTTTTTTTTTCTTTTTTTTCTTTTTTTTTTTATTTTATAGAAAAACTCCTTTATCGTTCATCCTCCTCGTGAAACAAAGTTCCTCTCGAACGTTTTCACAAAGACGCAGTAGTAAAACGTGCTCGAGGATCGCCAATTTGTTTTACACGTCTGTTTCGTTTCGTCCGAATGAATAAGAATCGAGTACCTTCGACTAAATGTTTTCGTTCCAAGGGAAGTTTTCCCTGGCTTTCAAGTCGTTCACGATTTCCCGTACCTTCGTGCTAGGGAACGCAAGCCGTGAGATGTTTTGCGCGTTAAACAGTTCGAAGGAAGAGCACGGTCGGTGTAACAGAGTCGATGTAACGCAACGCGACGAATAAAACGGAATGCTGAATTTCTAACACGGCTGCAACGGTATTCTTAGCGAAGTTCTTGATGCGCAAATTGGTACGCGCGTGAGGTATTAATTTACCAGCGATGTTCTCTAATTATCGTGGTCGCGGAGCGACGGAATCCCTCGGTGAAGTTTCCGCGTTTAATGGAACGCCGCTAGGATAGTTAACGTTAATAAAAAGCGAGTCGCTCGATAGCTAAAATAGGACGAGGCTCGTTGGGACAAATTGCACACGCGCAACACAATTACTCCTCGATGGACGTATATGGCGCGGCGATCATCGAGTCTGACATTCGCGAGGCGGTTCGATTTTATACCGACCTCGTAGGTCGAACATATCGCGCCTAAGCGATACGGTATTGTCTCGAAGTAAGCAACTCGTTGTCTCCAACTTTTTATTGGAAGCCGTCGAGTGAGAGGTCCGAAAAAATATATATATACACGTCGAATTGAGTAACAGTCTCCTTTTCGAAGTCGGTTAAAAAAGAATTCGATTTTACTAGTCCTTCTCCAAAGAATAACACCCGTGCTCGAGCGATCGTTTTGTTGAACCCTTTGATTTATCTACGGGTTTCCCTTTTGCCACGCTCGAGAGCAAAGCCAAGCCGAATAGCATACACGTCCCTCGAAACAAGCGACTCACCGGTCCCGACGGAGTTGCTTATTTCGACGCAGCACCGTTCAATTGCTGCCCATGGTCAAAATTATACGAATAAAGTGAATCCGAAGCCATTCGGTACGCGGCGAACGATTGGAATAGTTTGTTGCAAAAGTAAGGCTCGTAAATCTACGCGATTCCGTCATCGTTGAAACGATCTCGGCGGTGTTGCGATTGCGAGGATTTCGCAATCGGCCACACGGAAGTAATTCCACGATCGGCTCGCTAGACGTCGAACGTTCCTCCTCGAGAAATGCCTCCTCTTCTTCTCGCGCCTCGAGCGACCGAGCTTTCACTTCTTCGCCCGAGGATTTCTCGCGACGAGTCTGCCCTTGCGCGTAACCGCGGAATTTTTTGACGGAAACGAAGAAACGATTCGAAATGGGAATTCCGGTGTAGCGAATATTCTAGAAAAAAAAAAAAAAAAAATAATCGATTCCGAAAGGTCTCGCGATCAGCTAAAGTCTCTAGAAAAACTGTCCTCTGAAATAAGAATAAACGTAAGCAGAATGCTCGTTCGAAGCAGAAGTCTCGTCGAGTGGATGGTCCGCGATCGTTATGTATCGGTATCGTCCGTCTCCGAGTGCGTCAGAGTCGAAGGTGTCGAGACTATGAAAACACCTGAACGATTGTACGCAGGTGTCGGAAATTACTTTGGCAAGGTGTTGCAGGTATTGCCGAGGTCCCTTTGAAGACGACAAGGTCGCTTCCTACGATTGTTTCGCGGATAATTTACACCGACGATAAGAGATACCGATGCTGGCTGAATTAAAGGCTTCCTATATCACCCGCATTTGTACACTTTTTAGACTTCGGATAGACACGATCGCGATAAATAATAGCTCGAGTTCGATTGCACGAACAGCGTTAATATCGATAATTCGATGAAGCGAAACCACAAGGACGATCCGCGAGCTCGCCACGAAGGAACAAAATAAACTCTTTGTCGCGCGTCGAACATCTGTCGCTTCTGCAGGTAGGCAACAAACAGGCTGCACGGCCTCGCGTTCTAAACGATATTCGCAAGGCCGATTCGCGTTCGCGCACGTTTATCGCGTGCCCTTCGCACTCGAAAATACGCGAATCGAACACGAAGCGTACTCGAGGTCGCGCGATCTCGTTATTCACGCGTCTCGCCGACCGCCGAATGAATTTAAACGACGTTACGCTCGTTTCTGACTCGTTTCGTGTTTTTTTTTTTTTTTATTTTTAACAGATCTAACAGCTAAGGAAGGAAGTTTCTGGAAAATTGCATCGTGATTATCTATTAATTATTAGTTCCATCGGGATATGGCAAGAATCCGAAGAGAATTATGAGGAATCTTCGGTTACGAAATCTTGTTTCACGAGTAGCTCGCAATTATGGTACGGATAATTGGTCCTCGATTGGTATTTTTTTCCAATAGATATAATTGAAACGCGATAAAGACGAGGATGCATCGTCACGCAGCACTCGAATCTCGCTTACAATTTGCTCGAATATTCTTTGATTAAAAAGGACTCTTCTTTCTCGTTTTACCTTCTGTCGCGACCATTACAGGCCTGTATTCTAATCGACCGAGTGGTCGTGGGTTTCTCAAGTCCCAAATTTTCATCTTAATAACGTCCACGTGAATCAGTCTGGCAGACCGAGTCACTGCAATCCAGATCTTTTCGTCGCGACGCGGAGAGCATCTGCATCGGGCGAAACGAGCGAACGGAACGCGCGGCGTCGTTCGGTGACCTCGCCGCGGCAAGAGGAGAATCGCTCTTCTTGGGTTTTCACCGATACCTTAGAAAGTTTCTCGGTGGTAGGGACGCCGCAGCCTTGAAAATCGTTCGCGACGTACCTGGCATCGTTGAACGGATCGGCGACGCGACATCGCGCCTCAAAAAGATGTCACGGACGACAAAGTCTCGAATTTGAAATGTAATTGCCGCGCCGCACGGACTGGGCCAGACCTCGAATATCAATCGTGCGGACAACTATGTCTTGGTACCGCTTGTATTTAGCTCGTGTTGCTGCTCGTTGACGACCAAATCCTTTTTTGTGTACGTAACATTTTTGTCTATCGCCGTTAGTTTTGTCAGAAATCAAATAGGTAACCCCTTAATATCTCCGCGATCAGAGGTGCACGGAGTAAAATCGATGGTCGCCTTTAAAGACACGAAAGTCAGCTCGCGTCCCCGTGCTTTATTAGAAACCGTCGCGGCAAGAAAATATCACGATCGAGCATCTACGTATCGACGACAACCGGAAATTTATCGGCGATATTTCTCCCTCGGAAGTATCGACCCTCGTTTCCATCCACCGGAGAACGTACTTCCTTCGCCTCGCGTCCCTTCCTGCCACTCCATTTCCCTATTTTTCTCCCGTCTCGCCCCGCCAGGCTTTTCTTCCTCCCGTTTCGCCAATCTCTACCGCTCCGTCTCGGCCTGGAACCGATTTATTCCAGCCGCCTTTCTTCCTTTTATCGAACGGTCCAAGCAGTAAGGACCCACTCTCCGCGCGGTCCAATAATTTGCCTTGTTTCGGATCACTTAATTACCCTGGAACAGCGCAAGGCACCCTCGACAACTATCGGGAGAAATAGGTCGTCGCCGTGGAGAAAAAACGGACCCCCTAAAGGAGGGAAGATCGTTGCAAGTTCAGGGTCGCGTTTCGATTTTACGACGATTCATTCCTTTTTGGGTGGTTCGAGTCGAGGTAAGTCACTTTTCGACGATACGATCGAATCTCGATTTACCGGGCCTAATTAGTGGCAGGTGTCCCTTAACACTTCGACGCTCAACTTTCGGAAAATGATTTATTTAACTCCCTGCCGCCTACGATCGGTCTCATTAATATATATTTGTACCCGCTATGTTTAATAAAGAAGTTTGTCTGAATTAAATAATAGGTTCAATGTTTTCGAATAAATGTTTCACTTGTATATACACAAAGTGTCCGAAAAATGTTGGAGGTTCTTGGAAGGAGTGATTCGGGAGGTGATTTGAAACAACTTTTTCCTTAGCGAAAATGTTGTCCGAGGCTTCGTTGAGGAGATATTAAACAGAAAACCCTGACCAATCAGAGCGCGAGTACGTCGGTGGAACGCCCGCGGTAGGCGTAGGCTACGTGCTACGCCGCGTTCTGATTGGTGGAGGTTTTCTGTTAATATCTCCTCAACGAAGCCTCGGACGACATTTTCGCTAAGGAAAAAGTTGTTTCGAATCACCCTCCGAATCACCCCTTCCAAGGACCTCCAACATTTTTGGAACACCTTGTATAAAAAAAAAAAAATTTTTTTTCTTTTATTTGGAAACCTATCATTTAACTTAGACAAATTCCTCCAATAAACACGGAGAGTACGAATATTTCTGGGACCGACTGTATACACAGATGACGCGGGGATCAAACATGTTAAGTGTGAACGACGCCGATCTTTAGTAATAAAATAAGAAATGTGTAAGCTGAAAAGCACGATTTCGCGAGAGACGCAAGTTCCTCTCGAGCCGATAATTGTGTCGGAGGTCACAGCCGCTATCTAATCTCGACTGCACCGCTGTGCAACAAATAGCGCATATAAACGGCCGCGGTATATTTGTAAGCGTCTCAGTCGCGATCAAATCGCAATGTCGAAAGTTCCTCTGTCGTTGACGTTTATCCTCGCGCTGTCGACGATCGCGTCGTCGACGGAGGCGCCGAGCTGCGATCGCGCGAACGGTTACACGGTGTGCCATAACAAGGGTGTCCTGGTGGACGTGATCCAGCACGAGTCGGAGGACAGGCTCGAGATCGACGACCTGGACCTGCTGGCGATTCGCGAGAACGCGTTCAAGAACTTGACCACTACGCGTCTGAGTTTCATGCAGGGGAACAAAATCTCCGTGGTGACGCGAGAGTCTTTCCGCGGATTGGATAAGCTGGAACGACTGGACCTGGACGGCAACGTGGTGACGTTATCGGCGAGCCTGTTCGCAGAGCTGAAACAGTTGCGCTCGTTGTCTTTGATTTTCAACAAGATCAACGGTATCCCAAGGGACTCTTTCGCAGGCTTGACGAACCTGATGTGGTTGTACCTGGGCCACAACGACGTCGAGTCGATCGACGCTGGCTCCTTCTCCGGATTGTCTTCGTCGTTGCTCTTTCTCTGGCTGAACGACAACAAGATCGCCGGCATAGAGGCGGGTAGTTTTGCTAGGATGACGGAGCTGACGCGTCTACACTTGGAGAACAATCGGCTGACATCCGTTCGGCCTGGGACCTTTCGAGGACTGCACAAACTGGACGGCCTGTTTTTGGAACAGAACCAACTGTCCAGCGTCGCCAGGACCGACTTCAAGGGACTGATCGGCTTGAGGCTGTTGTACCTGCAGCACAACGAGATCGCAGACATCGAGCCGGGAGCATTCGCGGACTTGGGTATACTGGAGCAGCTGGATCTCAGGGATAACAAACTGTCCAGCGTCGATTCGGCGATGTTCGACGGGCTGACCAGTTTGAAGAAGCTCGATCTGTCCAACAACAGGATCGGTGTCGTGGACTCGGGCGCGTTCACTCGTCTCGTCTCGTTGAGGAACGTCAATCTCGCGAACAATAACGTGACTAACGTCGACAGGAAGGCTTTCGGATTGCCGCTTTTGGCGATCCTGCATACGTAATAACAAGGAAACAGCGAGAGACTGCGTTCCGTGGATTGCGAACAAGTGCTCTACCGAATAATCGTTCGTTCGATACAAATAAATCTTGCAGCATTACAACGCGCGCCACTGTTGTATCTTTAACGTTATTTTCTCGATGGAAGGACTAAGAGATCTTGCGACGACGAATAAAATTTACACGCACAAACCTGTACGCTTCGTTTCACTAAAATCTCAAACTCGTTCGGTGATCGACGCCGTGGCAATTTACCACTGCTCGCTTTGAACATAATTTTCCGCTTTTCGAGCGACCAAACGCAGGCCCGACGTTCAACCGTTCCAGTCACGTTCAGGAGCACCGAATCGCATTCGAATGCGTCGCGAGCGTGCCGCGATCGTGCCGTCATTGAACCGCCGTTGTAAATCAAGCTCAAAGTGTCCCCAGACCTCTGGATGTCGGGGACTCTCGCACAAGTATCCGCTTTCCGAAACGATATATGTATCTCTAACGCCGCGCTTAAAAGCCGCACTTTCACCGCGAGACTCGCGCCGATTCAATGCCCACGCCTCTAACGCGAGTCCTTGTAATAAATATCGCGTTCCCTGCTAAAGATGACACGATGTCGACGCGTTACGACGGCCCATGCCCGAACACATTTCGCCCGAACACAAGACTGCGAGTCTCACATGTACTCGTAGGTTAAGGAGTTAAAAAAAAACGTATTTGTTTGAATTTAAAAGAAATGACGTTACTTTTCGGCCACCCTAATGCTATCGTCGCCAGAGACGGGTAAGACCCTAGGCTTCGAATGAATCCGAAGTTTGCCGATGTGTTTGTCTCGTTTCTTTCGCTGGAAAATGTTCGAAAGAGGGAACGAGACGAACGTATCGGCAAAACTTCAGATTTATTCGAAACGTAGGGTTTTGCCCATCACTGATCGCCGCTCACTGCTAAAGAAACAGAAACTAAATAAAGATGACACGATTGTCGATCGAAAGCAACGTCGATCCTCGACGACTAACATTTCGTGCGATACATAACAGAGCCATGTTAATTTCGACGCAAGCAAGTGCGACGAGAGTAACAGCAGTACTGCATCGAATTGCCGTTCGTTATTGTCGATGTTTCGTCGACTTCCTCGTCGTTGCGCGTCTTGTCGGGCGCGATAAACGTCGTTGAATGGCAATAACGTCGCCCGGACGAGGAAGAAATCGCGATTATTCGAACAGACGGCTGTTTGTCGCGCATATAGCCAGCGGTTAAGGAGCTCGGTTTCCCCCTCGTCTTTTATATTATTCCACGGATCGAGATGAATGTTCGTTGTCGGACAAAGGGGACAAGGAGGAAAAAGGAATCGGGAAATAAAGGCCAGCTTTCGTTTCGCCTGTTTTTCCGGGACTTCTTTATTTTCTAATTTGCGGCGCGGTCGACTCGCCTCCCCTCCCGACTTAACCCGGAACCTCTTGGCTGTGTACATCTATCATCGTGCAACCCGCTGGAAACCCCTGTAGCTACCTACGCGTATCCGTTACAGAGATCGCACGGTAATTTTTCACATTTTATTGGCCTGTCATGTCGCCGTGCCTCTAAAGAAACATTACGCTACCGAGCAAACATCGACAAGCCGGTATACAGGGTGTTCCTTTGTCGATGCCACTTCGTCGCGACCCAGTTCCCGAATGGTGTTTCGCGAGCAATTTTCTTTCCGTGTACGAGCCTATTTACCCGTGCGATTGTCTACGAAACTTGGCTCGACTCGATTTATCGAAGCGCGTTAACTGGTTTAACGCTAAACCTATCATCGGGACAGGTCCGATGACCGTTTCCAAACGCGATATACGAATTATATTCAATTATATTCGCGTTTAATCGAAAACGTGTGCGTACGAATTTACAGAGCTCGCGTTACCTGTTACGTGGTCGTTGTCTCCGTGGAAAGATTACCTCCAGAAAAGCTTCGGCCGATTGCGTGAACGCCTCTCGTGACGCTTAAAGAGAAACGCATCGAATTAGCGACAATGGTATGTCAGTAAGGCACGCGTTATTTATATCTGCGAAAGTGAATTTTCAATGCGATCGAGATTTCTTCGGCGTGGGAAACGCCCGACAATCGCGACGGATGCGAGGATAGCGCATTGTGACAGGATTAAATCATCTTGCTGGATTAAACTCGTACCCGATCGACCTTAAACTGTCGTTGTAATGTTAAGTAGATCGAATCGAGCGCAATGATATACGGGGACCTTCCAGTTCGCTGTACCCTCCCGCTCACCTACGACAATTACTTCATCTACCTGGCGATAAGTAAGCGATCGGACCAGGTATCCCCACCGATTGACTCCCCGCTCCCGTTTCCTAAACCCGTTCGCCTCTCTGCTCTAATAACCGACCACCCTCGTAGATCGTCTCGCGCAAAGAGGTGCACCTTGGTATTAGAAATAATTCGTACGTTTTTTTTTAGCGTAGTAAAGATAAAAAGAAAAAATAGCGCACGGATATTTTTGCCGCGAAGGGAACGAATTACGTAAAGCAATTTTACACTCGAAGCTCCAGGAAAGCTTGGCTATCGGCTGGATGACGTTACCACGAAGTTCACGATCTCTGGAACACAGTAGATCGCTTATCGAATACCAATAGGATTAAAGAGTGACCCCGAACTCGATGAAGCGATTCCCTTAACGATCGTTTCTATTCGTACAATTAGAGACGAACGATCTATTTAATCAGGTAAATACATACTTTTGTCATTTTTAGTATTTAATTTTGATATCGGTCGAACGTTCTGATACATTAAATTGACCCAAAAATTTGCGTTAAATTCAACGCGGAATTTTCAACGTTGCGATTTCGATCTGTGAAGCACTTTTGGAAATCCTGGAGCAAGACTTTACCCCCCATCCGGTGATTCAGAGAGAGTTAAGGGTCTGCGCGATACTTTGAATCGAAATAAAAAAAAAAAAGCTACGCAAACAGGCCTTTCATCAGCGAAAGAGCGTCGGGACTTTTAAACCCGGAATAGCCTTATTTCCATCCTCGGCGAGGGTCCGTAAATTACAGGAGAAGAAATATTCGAGGGTGTCGTTGGCTGTCCCGGCGTAGTATTAGGGGCGTCGATCATAATGATCGATCGCTGATGAAAAAGGGCGCCGAACCGCGACGCTGTATTTTATCCGCAGCAGCTCGACTCCGTCGCTCGTTTGTCTTTTCGAGCGTCGGCATCGGAAGCCGTGTCCGATCCTTTTTGGGAAGAGTTTCCAACGGACTGGTCGCGTTTACGTTTACCCGCGCTCCCAGCCTTCTAATAGACCTCTGTCGCGCTCGCAACGGTTTACCGAAACGATTTGGACCAGCAAACACGGACCGGCGATTTTGCGTTTTGTTGCTCGATTAATTGGCCGCGTTAATTGGACTGTTCCGTGTCGAATAATCTCGCGTTTTGGCGGCCGATTAACCGGAAACGTCGCTGTAAAGGCTGGTCGAATGCAAATGAAATTGCAAAACATCGTTGTCCGATCAGTTGCCTCGGTGCTTCACGGAATAACGCGTCGAGCGGCGCGACTATAAATCCGCCGCGATTTTCCATTGGTGCGTTTCGACGTTGTGCGATCGTGTAACACCTTACGCTCGTTTCCCATTAAATCGATTGCTCCCGGTGTCAGGGATTGTTCGTATAATCGAAACATTTTCCCGACCGAAACGCACGAGGAGATCACCTTTCCACGATTCGTTTGAAAGGCGCGAGGTATTCGCAGTTTTTCTCCGTTTCAAAAAATTGTATCGCAGAACAGGAAATGTTGTATCGACTCGATAAGCGGGTGCTAATTAGAGGCGGGTTTCAGCGTTATTAATACGCGCTAGAAAGTTTGGTTCTCGCGCGGTAAAAGCGAGAAATGAGTCGGCGTATCGAAATCTATTTTCGTTGGCTGTGTTTGTGCCGCATTGTGAAAGCCGGACGCGTTTACTTTGTTCCCAGCGAATTTCGTCGGAATTCCTGTTGCGGAGCCTCGGCGAACGAAATCGAAAAGGAACTCGTCGCCAAAGAATTCGATCGACGACCCTACGAAGTCACCAGTACTTTCCGTAGTATTATAAACACGAATGCATTTTAAACGTCACGGCGTCGTACAAATAAAAAGGAAACGCGTGAAGTAGGGTAAGAAGTCGATCGGAAGTAGCGTTGACAAATCGTCGGTTCGCGTTTCCCAACGAGCAACCAAACGGAGTTGAAGCAAATGTCGCAAGAGGTTACCGTCCTTCGCCGCGAAGAACTTTACGAAGAGGTCCGCGAACAAGGTTGACCGAAATAGATCCGCGGACTATGTATTCCCCTCGCGACCAAAGGACACCTTAGAATTTCCATGGTATTATGGATATACGCTTCGAGATACGCGCGTCCTGCTTTTTATCCCGATCACGACGCTAAACTTTCTATTCCCCCCCCCCTCCCCTCCCCCCTCCGCCCCCCTCCGCCCATTGACATTCGTCTCGTCGCTGGATTCGAAGCATCCCCGCTCGCCGAGTAAAAAAACCTGCACCGCAAGCTCCTGTTTGGTATCGTTTCGTCGACAGAGGTCTATCGAGATCACGGTAAATCTGTTGCAGCACAGTCGACTAAGCTGCAGGAATTTCGAACGAATCGACCGGCAAAAGAATTTACACTAAACCGTCGATCTACTTCTAACGCGATCAAGAGACAGTTTCAAAGACGCTCTTTTCGATCGAATGCAAAAATATTTCACGTGGTGTCGAATCGAACGATGTATTAGGTCGTCCCATAAGTTCGTGCTACGGACTGTGTCGATATTTAATACAAATGCTTCTGAAATTGTATAATGAATATTGTGAAACGAGAGACATTAACTTTTCTTGGAACACTCGACGGGGTATGTTTCGTATATTAATTCGAGTAACAGAATTACAAGTGGTACAGATTTTTAGGACGACCTAAACAGTTGTATATGACTCGGAGAGACACCCTTTTCAATTAAATACACAATTAGGTAGATTCCGTGATAATTTGTATCCATATGTATCAGGTTGTCCGAAAAGTTTCTTTCGATTTGTTCATAAGTAATACATGCACGATATTTTATGCTTTATGTTACATTACCGAATTGCGCACGATTCATTTTGCTGCGTTACTGTTGCAACATGAATATATATGAAATTAGATATTTGTCTATTTAGATAAATACGACCACATGAAATAATCGAGTGCAACTCGCGAAAGAAACTTTCGGGACAACCTAAATAGTAACGACTGTGTCTCTAACTTGATCTTTCCTTTTTTTGTTTCAGGTAAGTCGCAGATCGCGCCACAAGTACTTTTTCCAGACGTGTTCGAGGTAGGACTAGACAGCTACCGTTAACGATTCGCCAATTGTATATTCCGCGTGTCGAAAATCGGCGGGAACCTTCCGTTACGTATCGGACGATTCCCTGTCGGGACGTTTGGAATTCGAGCGAAACGAGTTGTCGGCGATCGGTGACATTTCAGTTTTCCGTGGTGGGTGAAAGCCAACGGTGCAGGTTGCGATTCAACGCCAAGGCCGAAGGTTCGCAGCGCGACGGAAACGTTTTCGAGTCCCACTCGCGAAACCGAGTCGATAAATGCGAATAAGGGTACGCGTAAACACCTTTAAGGCTCCGCAACAGGAATTCCATCGAGCTTCGATGCACCTAAATATGAATTCAAAGGGGTCAGGAAACGGCATTACTCACGTGACGACCTACCAATTACTTTCTGGGAAGCATTCGATAAACGGAATCGAAACGTTTCGGTCGACGTCAACGATCGATCCAACCTTAATTACCTTTCGCAAACGCGACGATCTACCCGCGCGTACGTTCTCAGGAAAAAATAGAATTCCAAATACGGAGGACATCGGCGCTTACCGTTTATTTGCCATCGACGGGTACGGATAGAAATAGAGAGATATCGGAGTATAAAATGGAATACGAAGTCCGGCGGTGTATTTCTATTTCGAATAAACGTTCCAGGGGATAGTTACAGGCAAGATCAACCGGTTATACGTTAGTTAAGCTCTCGCGTCCATGGAAACGTATACCGAAATCTGGTTTCAGTCAGGTTTGGAAAGAATCTCGCGTCCATGAAAGAACTTTGAAATCGAACCGTCATCGAGCGACCAGCGTCGCGGGCTCGCAGTCCAACGGAAAATTTGTGTTTCATTGGGAGTAGCGCGTGACCGATTAAATATCCATCGAAACGAATCAACGTTTCGTTTATTTCCGCGTTAACTTTTCCGTAATCGAGCGCACCGTGTCGAATATCCCGACGAATCGGCTCGATGGAATCGCGTTTTTCCTCGAGCTCGCTAATGCGTCGATAACGAACGTAATTGCGTTCTCGACGACGCTAATTACGTTTCGCTTTGACGCGATTGTAACGGCCGCCTCGCATAGCCGAATAATAAACGTTTAACAAAAAACCTCTGTTATTATTTCTATCGAATCGCGAGTGAAGCGGCCGGACGAGTGCTGGATAAGTATTCGAGCCAGGACGCGCGCGATACGTTTAGTAGAATTGGGTACGCACCGGGTACTCGAAACGAGCCGATTCAACGGGTTACTCGCTGCGCGACGAAGTAATTAAAGTCCGTCGGCCTACACGTTAACGCCTCTATAAATTCCGCAGCGACGTTTGGGAATATTGTCGAAGGCGGTAATATTCGAGACACGCGGGCGAACTTGTTTTGCGCTCGGAGTAACGAATCTATTCGCTGATGACTAATTGATAATCGAAATGTTTGTTTTTTTCATTTTATCTGAACGCTGGAAAATATTTATTTGCCGATGAATATTTGTTTGATGTCGTCAAGTATCGACGGTATTTGTATTTTCATCCGAGCGTCACGCCGTGCACGGCTCGTAATAAAAGCAAACTAGAGACGACCGTTCGAATGAATTCAATAAAAGCACGTTAAACGACGCGATGATTTTCGAGTCGACGCTCGAGTTCGATCAACGT